CTTCTTAGGACATTGGAAATCTGTCAGTAGAGGAACCACGCAAGGTAGCGTAAGCGGACCGTATCTTTTTAATATATTTTTGAATGACTTGGAGATTTTCTTTAATGGTTGCCCTGTTCTTTTTAAATATGCAGATGATTCCACTATTCTTTCTCCTATCACTAGGAACCGCGACCCGTCTGCCGACTTAGTAGGACAGTTCTTAACCTGGTGTAAAGACAATAAAATGGTCTACAACCCTTGTAAATGTAAAGAGCTGGTTGTTAGAATTAATAATATTCCTCAATGTAACAGCGTCGTTTTACTAGGAGTAACTCTACAGATCCGGAGTGACGGGAAATTTAATGAGCGTGTAAGAACCAAGCTCGTCAAAGCAAACAAGTTTTTACACGTCCTACGAACACTAAAAAAAGGAACACTACTCTCAGGCAGAGATAGATCACCTTTTTATATCTATTGTTTTACCTAATTTTAGCTATGCGCTTTCAGTCTATGGGGCATCGGAGTCCGATCTTACGGTTATCCAAAATTTTTTAGACCGATGCCATAAACGCCGTTTTATTTCATTTCTAGTTTTTATCAAGAATCTTTTAAATAAACAGGACCGAAACATTTTAAAGAAATAAATATCAACGGATTGCCACCCCTTGAAAGATATCATTCCTGTCCAGAAGACTTATGTACAAAATTTTAGGACAAAAGGCTGCTCACGCCTGAAAATTAATACACAGCGTTTTATGAACTCCTTTGTAAATAGGTTGATTTTTAAGCTCCGTTTATTGAAATAACATTCTTTTTTAATATATATATATATATATATATATATATATATATATATATATATATATATATATATATATATATATATATATATATATATGTAGATAATTTTTATCATAGTTTTTTTATCTTCCGTATTGTTGTAACATAAGATATGTAGTTTTATCTTTTGATGAAATAAAGACTCATTATTATTTATTATTATTTAAAACATCTCTCAGAGGCCATTTTCGCAGACAGAAAAAAAGCACTAGAACAGAGAAACAAAAATGCAAGTGCGAAAATACTATCCTTTGTAACGCCATACCACCATGCGTTGCCCAACCTCAAGAACATACTTATGGGGAAATGGCATCTTATACAGAACCAACCATATCTCAGAAACGTCTTTAAGGAATTAACCTCCCCTCATTTCATATTGCAAAGGAAAATCCCTAAAAGACACTATTAAGTTTTAAGACCAATCTATTTGCGAACTGCAGGAGTCCTGCAGGCCCGTCAACACTTTTAAACCTTGAATTCCAACCTGTGTGCTCGGTTTCAGTCCCTCTCGGAAACAAAACTGATCAAAAATTATCGTCTCCCTTCTTGATTTAAAAATCATGGATCTTGATTTAGAAAACGCGTCTCTTGATACATGACATGAAACACGTGCGAATTGAAATTAAATTCTACAATCTTGACACATTCAAAAAGCAAAGTGATGTTAATTTTATCGATCTTGATAGAGAATTGGTGGATTTGAATTATAAAGTTTTGTCACTTTTGGCGTAGCATAATAAACATTAAAATAGTGTTGAAATATATGTTGTGGTTCAACTGGTGCCATTTGTACTTGTTGGATAGAAAGCAGGTTATTTTATTGGATTGTGAGTCATGCGTAGCACGTCAAGCACGAGTTGAAGTCCCTCGAGGCAGTATTTTGGGACCACTGTTCTTCATTATATTCACCAGTGATTTAACGCTGCTTGTTAACGGTCAGGTGACCACTAGATACCTAGTTACAGCCTCTTTGGACGTCAGAAATGTAGCGAAAGATAGATGAATAGCCCCTTTTATATCTGTCTGTATTCGTTAAGCCAAGGGAACTAGGTTTTTTCATGGCGCCAGGCTAGATTAAACTTTGATAAAACAATGCTAAATTAAGTATAATAATTCATGTAAAAGTAGAAATAACTTAAAAGTTTTTTTAAAAACTCAAATTTTGTAAAACATGGCTGGCTAACTCGGTTGTCATGGTAACATCAATGTTGACGTACACGTCACGACGACGAAATGTTTCCTGATAAATTTAGGAAAGGACGCTAAGTTTAGCGGTCATAGTTTGAACTTGGTTTTGAAGCTATTTGACTTTTTAGCGTGCGAGGGGGGCCTCAAAAGACCCCGTCGGTTTCTTCCCATCATACTCTGCCTAATTCAATAACTGTTAAATGTAGAATAAATTCCCCAATGCATCCCCAATGCAATAAGTATGCTCGAATAAAATAACAACAGTAAGCTTTATTAACGTGAAAATCAATACTGTTTGAAGAAAGAGAAGACGTATCACTAATACACTTGAATATAATAATATTTAACATAAGGATATAACAAAATATAACTAGTATCCTATTACAGAGATAATCATAACTATAACAAAATTGTCAAATCTGATTGGCTATCAACTGCCCTGATTTCAGCCTTAATTGGACAGTTTAATAGGACAGTACGCGTCATGCCTTAGTAATTGGACAGTACGCGCCATCACGCGCGCGCTTAAATGGCTTTTTTTTTCACTGCTAGCAAAACAAAATTTCGAATTTCTTGTGTTTTTATTTAAAAAATATCCTATTATATCACAAATTTTGTTACAGTTATGATTAATTGGTAACAGAACTTCGTGTCGTCCAATTCGGTCTGTAATCATACTCGTGATTAAACAAATCGGACTCCCGCTACGCGGTCGTCCGATTTTGTTAATCACTCGTATGATTACAGACCGAATTTGACTCCACTCAGTCCTATTACCATTACTTATAATTACAAAAATTATTTATAGTGAACCACATTTCAGTAAAAGGCTAGAGAAATTATAGAAAGACATGTAGATGTAGTGTCTTAGGCAAGTCACAAGCACATAGAAATAAAAGTAATTTTAAACTGAATACTTCTCATTTCATTTATATTGACGTATCTAATTCATCAACATATCAGTCGCTCCTGGGAATATTTGAAATAAAGCTAGATTCAGTTATTTACCTTTTAAACCGGATTTTTATTTGAGTTAGTACATGTTCTATAGCTTTGACTGAAAGTCTCTTGTGACCAGTTCTTACTTTCAAACTGATCAATTGCAGTCTTACTTTTCGCGGTTTAAGTTGTTCCACTTTAAGTTCATACTTACGGCATGAGGCTCAGCGCTTAGTCACATCAGAAACTTCTGAACCAGATTAGATGACTCGAACCCGAATTTTGCTGGTGTAATTATCTTCGTTCTCTGGACTATTTATACGAAAGCAGCTTGGTCTTCATTGAAAATCCATCATAAAACATTCATGGATAACATATATACTGAACTTTATTATGACAATATCTTTTCGCGATCGGAATGAATACCATGTGACAAAGACGTCACATTTGTTTTAGCTCCTAATCGAATTTCATTCTTTATTCGCCTGGCAGCTTGCCTTCTACCGTGTGAGATTTTTCAAAAATCTATAAGAGGAATTTCGAGATATCTTAAAGGTTCCAGGTTTATTAACTAGCTCTAATCAAAGATTAAAGTGCGTCGCCCTATAGCGTTAAACACCCAAACTCGTTTTATCATCTACATCAGGTCTCGTCAAAACTCTTGGAATCGTCAAAACTCGATGAATAGTTAATACTTTCCCTATCAGGCTTTATCGACGAAATATTTAGAAGAGAAAAATATTAATCAGCGAAGAAAAGGATTTAACTTCGCCTCTAAATCGCAGTGAAGTGTTTCAAAAATTTTGAAGAAACTGCGCAGCGCAAATATTCGTTTATAGGAGCTGAAAGATGCACGCGCAAAGTAACGTTCAAATAAAGACGTAACGTTCACAATAAAGGCGTAACATTACTTGCGCGCGCTGACTTTGAGAGGTTCAAATAGAATTAAAGTCCACTTTCAATCCATCTGGGTCTAGTGTCAGGTGTCTGCATATATCATTCTGCACTTGAATATGATTCGGCATTTGACGGCGTAACCACAATTACGCTGACAAGAGGAATTATACGTACGAAACACGCTGCGGGTGATAGTATACAATAGGACGCCTCTAGCAGATTTTGCACCAACAACCTCTTTTCTCGAACGTGCAGACTGCCCACGAAGTCACAGACCACCCAACGATTCCATTAGGGAGCGTCGATCTCCTTCGTGGACGTGCTTAAACTGAAGTCTGGACCTTATGCAAATTAATTGCTACTTCTTGTATGATTACGGAAAGTTTTACCACTTATTTTTTTATCCTTTTCAAATGTCCTTTATAATTCTCCAGACAACTAGAGGCAGGTAAACTTGCCTGATTTCGAGGAAAGTATATGCATCAGGGCGACTAGCGTGCTATGACCAATAAAATCAGCATCCGTAAATGGATTTCCTTTAAGAATTTTCAGAGCCCTCAATTAGTCTCGACTTTCATGCCCAATGAAAATTTAATATAAAGTTGTCTAAGTTACGTGCCCCCAAAATTGAGTAAATAAAAGTAAAGCGATAGTTTTAGATAGTATTGTTCTCTGGGGTTTCCTATTGGCTCAAGCCTACCACTTTTAACATCGAATTCCTCTTCAGTACGCGTGAATTTACCGCACCTGACTGTTCCCCGAAGCCTTCCGAAATATGGTAATGTTGTAGAACTAGGAACCATTTTTCGCGCCCCGTTTTTGTTCAGTGTATCGGCTTTTATTCCTTTTCCATTCTCTTGTCTTAGCATGTTGAACTGTCATCAAAGAAAGACCTCAAGTTACAAAAGCTGATACATGACATTTTTACTCCATTGCTGCTGTTGTTGATGTTTTTTTTTGTTGTTGTTGTTTGTTTCAAAATGTTACCATATTTCTTCAATAAAGACCAATTGAAACTGTTCCCGTATAAAAAAAAGGGTCCACAGATGTTTTCAAAATACTTGATCGAGCCACCTTAACGTAGATAATAACACATACCTCTTTGCGGCAATTTATTCAGTATTAATCACTCTAATTGCTTGATACTGAATATTCTAAGCATATTTGTATATTTCAACTCTTATTGCAGGCCAGTTGTGGTAACTGACGTAATAAAACCTAACAAATCTGGCTTTCACGGCAGGAGAAAGAGCGTGCAGGACAATCGTATGTCGATCTGTGTTTCCTTGGAAAACCTGCATTTTGAAAATAAAATTATATAAAACTGTGAAAGGTTTGAACCCAAGAGTCATTTCAAAAGGAGGTTGAGTTTGATCGTCCGAGTGAACGTAGTCCTGAATAGGACTGTTGTTATTGACAGTGACTGACGTTATACCAGAGTATAATACCATCAAATGACTTGATGCAACTCACTTTGACTCTGAAGATGACTACCGCACAGGTCGTCGAAACGTCGGTCACTGTCAACAACAACAGTACTATTCAGGACTACGTTCACCCGGACGATCAAACTCAACCTACTTTTAAAATTATATAGTTCTGATGATTTCAAAAACTTAATTTACTGAGAATTTATTCATACTCTGTGATCAGCATTTATAGAATTATACATCGTCCATTGATTGGTGGGACGGCATATACCTCTACCTCCACGACGGCCTGACCTCTTTATATCCTAAGTTGATCGTTGTAGAGAGAGTCGACTACATAGATAGTTTTAACATTATCTCACCTTCTCGGCATTGTCCTCTTTGTATGTGTTCCAAGTGACTCCATTATTAGAAATTCGCAAAATGTAGCTTGTGGTGCGTTCGTCAATGTTGCTTGCTCCTTGTGTTGCTACAGCACATACAGAATGTACAGTACCCAGGTCAACTTGAAGATAATCTGTTCTGGGACCTTGTCGGGTTGTTGGACACCATCCTCCAAAACCTCGCGCCTCATTAAGTCGACCGTAGTATGGATAATATCCTGTACTATAGTAGCTGCTGGCCGTCATTTGAGCGTTTGGAATCCTGTTTGGGTCTGCCACGCCCACGGGATGACATCCTGAAAGAGGAGTTTGCAAATATCATTTTAAACACCTCTTAGTTGCTGAATTAGAGATCAGTACAGTAGGTTGTACCCCACCGGGGAAAAAAGGAAGCTCATAAACTATTACTTAATATCTCTCTAGGTTGAGTAGCAATAAATTATCGTTGAGTTCGTGACTTGAGTTACCTTCATTGCTTGCCTTTCTCTAAATACAGGTGCCACTCGCCTTTATCTGAAATCCTTAAGACAACCAAGTTGTATAAAGTTCGGGATATCTAGTTCTTTGTTTTTGTTGTTTTTTATTCCTTTTGCGAACTAATCTTCAGTTTGAAATTGTTCAAAGTTATCTCTTGTTTAAAACTGAATTACATGACCTGTCCAAGTTTTCCCGACTTTACCCATGTCACTTCTGTTTATTTTAATAAACTACTCATTTTGTGTACATTTAAAAGTCTTCACAAAACAAGTAGTTTTTTGTCTGGTTTACCCATAAAAATTATTTTAGACAGTTTTTATCTGTTCATTTCCTGATTTCATAAATTATCAATTAGAATATCACCACTACGTATGCTAGGTTCATTATTATCTGGACTAGTCAGTATGTTTAAATAATGTAAGGATTTAGCTAGGGTTAAAGCGAAGCTCTCGTTAATATACTTATAATTTACCCAAACGAGAAAATAAAATCGTGTAAAACTAAACGGCGACGGTAACGAGAACGACAGAAGAAGCAATAGGTGTAATTAGCAACAAAACAACTGAAATTTGCACGTGCAGCACACGTTTCTGTTCTAATCATTTCTTTGCCTTTGTTTTGCACGACTACAACGTGAAACTTTAAAACTACACATCTTATGGAGGAAATGTCCTATTTGTTCAAGAAAAAAAAAATGTTGCTTGTGTTCCTGTTCGCTATGGTTTGTTTGTTTGTTTGTTTGTTTTTTTTTTCACTGTCGCTCATTTTTACCTTGCTGGCCTCTAGCATTTCTCATCTTCATCGCCGTTACAAATTTTTTTATTTTTTTCCAACGAAATTAGTCTCCTTTACTTTTTGTCTCTCGCTCTAACTCTTTCTATGTTATCCACGCCAGTGTAGACATTAAAATTAAGTCGAAAAAAAGGCTCGACTCTGTTATTGTTGTTTTCTCTCTAAAGGTCCGGGTAGCTATGCGATTTTCTACCGAAAAGACCTCCAGTTGCATATGGTTCACCATACCTTTTGATTGAGTTATTTTACATTGGTATGCCTTTGGTTACGGACGGACGGGCATACGGTCACGTGATTACAAAAATGTATCGGATATCGTAATCGATATCGTTCTTACCCATGGTGCTCAGCTGCTCGCGAGGGCTCCACTATTAACTTTCCCGTTTTCGTAGAGCCATTTTTACACAAATCCAAAATTTTCTCCACCCTAGCTGAGTATGTTCAGAGAAAGATGGCTAATGGTTAGCAGTGATAATTAATGTTTTACAATATGGATTTATCAAAAATGTAACAACGTGAAAATATGATAAATTAAACAAGTCACGTTTGCCAATTCCGGCAAGAGAAAAGGCTTTTTGTTACATTTAGCAAAGAGTTTTATTGAGTTCTCCGTTTTAATTTCATACATTTTTAGGAAATTTTTTTATCAGTCTTTATAAAGGTTTTCTTGGAAATAGTGGATGATGATACGTTTATCTTGAGCCTGGTAGCAACGTACAGCAAACATGGAAATGACTGGTACTAGAGGAGCTCTTTCGATTTTATATTTTGGTCGAAAGACCCTGGCATAATTTGAGGATGATTCAAAATTTTTTTTGCGGATAGCGACCTTTGCCCATTTCCCTTACCCCTCTCCCGCGTTAAGAATGACCTAAAATATTTGGGTCAAAACGAAGGGGCCCTGCCTTTACGCCACTTTCTTTATATATATTAGACAGTGGCCGTTGTATACAACCACCTTTTACCACATGGACGCGTACTTTTTAAGTCTTTAGGCAAGCAAACTATAGTTACCAAAAATATCTGACATGTAAATTTAACTGTAAATGTAAGCAAGCTCCCTAACTGAAGTTAGCTTCTTGATGACTTTAGCACCACCTTGTGGGGCACCAATCATGTTTTTGACAATATCTTGATGTTAACCAAGTAAGTTGAATAACGAAGTGCGATGCGATGATTACAAATTGCAACAGCTTTATTTAATATAATTAATTTGTGATGGACAGTTATTTGAACAAATCTCATATAAAATAGGAACGATAGGCTTGCTTGCGTAGATTTGCCCGGTAAGAAACTTTAGTCCGGTTTGCCGCAACGTCCATTTAAAAAATAGGTTGGAAAAAGAGGAGCGATCACCTAGCAACGCAAGAAACGGCTTATGTCTTCTATCTAGCGCTAAAAATCTGTTATAAAAACAAAACACACACACATACACAAAGTGGAGCTAAAAAACTCTTATTTCAATTTTGACCGACTATTACAAAACCATTTTCTCCGTTCTATTTCGAGAATAAGACTAACTTTTGAAGTCTCGGAGCTTGGTGAGCTTATGGTCTTGTCATTTTCACGCGCCGTTAGTCAGTTAATTATGCGAGTTGTATACAAATTGGCTCTGCAGTAAAAACCCCAAGGGAGAACTTTGACGTATTATTATAAAAACAAAAAACAATTAATAACTTAACAAGGATCAATTAAAACACGCGACTATTAAACGGTAGCAACAAAACCAGACACGTTTCTTAAGGCACAAGAAATCAACTTTTTGACCCCTTAATAATTGCAAAAAGAGTAAATTAAATACTCAGTGATTGAAAAGGAATTAATCTGTCAAAATAATCAAAGAAGGCAAGCTTTCTTTTTGTTACACCACGTTTCCCTCCTCAATATTTTTTATTCCGTCCTCCACAATTTTAATATTTTCCCTCCCCTTCCTCAATTTTTTTTGCATCCTCATTCTTGAATTCCCTCTTCAATTGTGTTCTTTTCCCTCCTAAATTTTTTTATACCCTCCTCCTCCTCCTCCTCCAGAATTTTATTATTTCCCTCCTCATTTTTTTTATTTTCCTCCCCTCCTCCTCATTTTATTATATATTTTTCCATCCACGACCACATCGACCCTACATCACACCCACCTCACACTCAACTTTTTTTAATACAGCTTCATAAATACTGAAACTATATACCACCACTACCACCACCACATTTCTATTGTTTTTCTCCTCCACCACCACCACATTTCACCACATTTCTATTGTTTTCACTCCTCCTATTTTCCTACCATACAGGTTATTGGAAAGGTCAGACAGGCCAGACACTGGCCAAAAAAACCAAAGGCAGGCCAAAGAAGCCAACCTCAGGCAAAAAAATGCCAAACTCAGGCCAAACAGGCCAAACTCTAACACTTTGTCTGATAGGAAAACAATCGGAGGAGTGAAAACAATATAAATGTGGTGCTGGTGATGGAGGGACACAATAGAAATGTGGTGAAATGTGATGGTGGTGAGGGAGGAAAACAATAGAAATGTGGCGGTCATGGTATATAGTTTCACTATTCACGGAGCTGTGTTAAAAAAACAGTTTAGTGTAGGGTCGATGTGGTCGTGGGTGGAAATAAAATATAAAACTACCAACAACAACAAAACAACAAATTTTATTGAAAATTGGAAAATAATTAATTACATTACTTTCCCACCCGCAAATAGCTTATAAACTAATCGAGGCGGGGGGAGCTGAAGACATATTACAAAACAAGATTTATATATAGATGGACTATAAAAATAACAGTGAAGACACTACTTTACTGTAAATGGAATTTAAACTAACATAAAACAATTAAGGCAAGTATATAACGATTACGGAGAGAGGCTAACCTAAAGTATTAAATAACTCAATAAGACGGGAGACTTCGACATAATCATCTTCTGACCGCAAGAAATTTAGTAATAATTCCTTTATTTTTTTACGAAAGGAGGAACGTTTAAGTATTTTAATAGAATAAGGAATAGAGTTCCAAATCTGGGCACCGATTCTCGTGAAAATGGCATAAATTTTATCGGTTCTAGAGAACTTAACATAAAACGAGTCGCTAGAGACAGATCTTGTTCTGTAGTTATGAATCTGACTTGTTTTAACGAACTGATTGAGTATACTGACTGGTGCTGTCTGGCTGTTGATATCATACAATAAATAGCTACAATCTCTGAAAAATAGGCTAGGTGTAGGCAGGGGAAGGCAATTTGATTTGAGAAAGAAGGGTACGGTGTTTTCCTTAGACTTACAGAAGTAAATGAGACGTAAGGCCCGTTATTTTAGAGTTGCGATCTTTCTTTGAAATGTCAAGGCACAGTTTTCCCAACCACAAATACCATAAGTCAAGTAAGGGACAATTAATTAGTTGTAAACTGAAAGTAAAACACGACGAGGGACAAAATGTCGAATCTTAGCTATAATTCCTATCGACTTGCTGATTTTGTGACAGATAGATTCGATGTGGTATTTCCATGAAAGATTTGAATCAATCATTAAGCCTAGATATTTTACATAATCTATCATTTCAAGGTTTGCGTAGGTGTTAGTCACGGAGTCAAGAACTCTAATCCTAGGTATGAAGGGCATATTCTTTTGCCGAGGACGAAAGATTACAAAGTTTGATTTTTTTATGTTCAAAGACAGTTTGTTAGCCTTTAGCCATTCGTTGACGTTGCCAAGCTCGTGATTAACAAGTGTTTCGTGTTCTTTTAGGCTGTTATTTACAAATATTATACTAGTATCGTCAGCAAATAGATAAAAGGCAAATAACGATGTCATTGATGTACAGTAGGAATAAGAGTGGTCCGAGGACTGAGCCTTGTGGCACGCCGCACAAGGTCGTTTCTGCCTCAGACACAACATTATTAACTTCCGTAGTTTGCTTTCTATCAGTCAGGTATGATCTGAATCAGGAGTTGATTACACCTCTAATACCATAATTTTCAAGTTTAGCTAACAAAATCTCACGGTTAACAGTATCAAAAGCCTTCTTGAGATCGATG